ATATATATATATTATGATGTATCACAATCAAGTTATTTCAATAGCATGATTACTTTTAATAGATGGTCAATCTCGTTAAGAAATAAAATTATTCACTAATATTATAGCAATAAGGACAAACACAAGCTTACCAGCATCAAATACTTTAGTAAAACTATGACCTCAACCTCAACCCCAACTAATAACTATTAAAATATCTTGAATTTCTCCCAAAATCTCATGTGATATTCTTGATTTCTGAAATTCATGTTAGTACCTGGCGTCCAGGTTCAATTCTCTTATGGGTGTTCAAATCATAATTTGGTACAGCGACAGGTTGTCCACATTTTAATTTCTCCATTGTTGAAAGCATAAGTTTTGTATCAAAGGCATCTGAAAATTCAAAAAAGGGTTAGTTATTCTCATTTTGGATTAGATTTTCAAACTAGTTCTACATGAAAGTTTTCCTTTCATAAGCTAGACAAAATTTGAACAATCATTCATTATATACTTACCAGGATGATCAAAATTGTACTCATTAACTTTTTGTAGTGTCTCGTCACTTAATGAGTAATAAAATGAGTCCTTTAAACATAAGAAATTAAATAAGTAAGAAAATTAATCCAACAATTATTTTATAAAAAAAAAGGTTTTCAAACGTAATTGAATATGTTACATCTATTCAACAAAATACAAGACAAAAAACACTAATCATGTCAATATAAAGAGTACATATTATAGAGAATAATTTACTTGTGTAATGAGGACAACACGTCGATCATGAAGTTGTGTATTTATCATGTTACATACAGTTGTTTTTCCAGATGCAGTTCCACCAGCAACACCTAAAAAATTTCTGTGTGAAAATACAAAAAAAAAAAAAAAAAAAGGTGTGTATTTATCATGTTACATACAGTTGTTTTTCCAGATGCAGTTCCACCAGCAACACCTAAAAAATTTCTGTGTGAAAAAAAAAAAAAAAAAAAAAAAAAAGGTGAAATTAACAAAAAAAATTAATAAATATCATTTGTTACCAATGAAAAATGGTTGCTTGGGGGATAATGGTGCTTTGTTGGCAATGGATTGGGGTGTATGCTTATCCTTAATGTTGAGATTTGATGGCAGTGTAGCCCTCTTAGCACCATTGTTCATCTTTGTTACTTTTTGTGTGTATATCTATGAACTATGATCCTATTGTATCATAACTTACCACATTCATCTATTCTAGAGATCGAAATGACCCAACACACACGGTAAAAGAACATTACCCACCTTTTATCTTTGCTAATGTTGTGGAGAATTTGTTACTGACATGTTTTTTTAGGTAAATCTATTTAACAAATTATTTTCATAAATGATATTTATTTTTTATTATAAATTATTTTTTTTTATAAAATTGTGTAGAACTTTGAATATATTAAATGATTTTTTTTTTATTGATGATAGAGGCAAATGTATATTGATTTGGTTAATAAAAGTAGCTCAAATGTTGTGAAGCAAATAATTGAGACAATATATGGATAATATAAATTAATACCCATTAGATAACAAATACTTGTTTGGGAATGTTAATGATAAGAAATTAATTTTGTGGCATTTTAGACTTAAATATCATTATTAGCATTGTACATTTAAAAACCAAAGATAAAAAATTAATTATCATGAAAAAAATTAATAAATAATTTATGATAAATTATTATTACTAAACATGTGAATGAAAAAAATTAATAAATAATTTATGATAAATTATTATTACTAAACATGTGAATCAACTAGTACAAAGTGTTTTAATTGCGCTAACTACTTAAAGGAAGAACATAATTCGAGCATGATTGTCATTTGTAAAAGATATTTATGTGTGTGTGAGAGAGTATGTGTGTGTATGTGTGACGAAATATTTCAAATTTTGTAAAACTTTATTAGCTTGATCTATTCATTAAAAACTATTAATTAAACGGTTAAATAATTAAAATTCAATGTAGATTATGAGTTATTGAATGAAATAACTAGGGATTGTAAAAATACCCACACCCGCAGGTATCTGTGGGTAAAATTCGCTACAAATAATAAATAGGTAGGCTAATTGGGTACCTGCAAATAATGGGGATGAATAATTTTTTACCCGTTTATTAACGGGGCGGGGGCGGATATGATGGTATCCATACCCACGGGTACTCGTTTAATAATATTTCTTAAATTTCGTAATTATTCTTGTACCACATAACCCTAAAACTACACTCTCTCATCTTATTTTTTTTTCTATAGTCACATAGCCCACACATTAGTCATCAAACATTATGAGATTGAATTATTATAACTTTGTGATATGAGACTTTTACTTACTTGTGAGATTGATGTATTTTAAGTTATTGAGTATCTTGTTTTTTTTACTATTATTTCAACAAAATTAAAGTTAATTACAAGTTCAAAATTAACATTAAATTTTTATTTTTAATATTTCAATGACATTAAATATAAACTTAAAATTATTTGTAATATAATTTTTTAAATTTCTTAAAAAATTTATAAATATCCATATATCTACAGATATTTAAAAAATTCATGGATACCCGCTTAACGAATACCCGTGCGAATATGGGACGAATATAGGCCAATTTTCATCCAGCGGAGTAGGGATGAGTTTACTATCACCTACCCCCATAGGGCCCATTCCCATCCCTAGAAATAACTCTATTAAAAGTTTTTCTTAGAGTAAATGGATGGTTTCATATATATATATATATATAGAGAGAGAGAGAAAAAAAAAACTTTTCAAGAGTTACTCCTTTACAATTATTCTTTATCCTTTTCTTTTGATTTGATGGTTAATGATGAGTTATTTGTTAAACTTGTTAGACTAAAGAAAAATAAAAGGTCATGACAGAAAGTAATTGTTTTAAAGTTACTATTTAGGGAAGAGGGGATAGTATTTGATATGAGAGAAATTTTTTCATATTTTAGAATCATGATTTTTTATAATTATTAATTCAAGAAATATAGATTTATGTAAATGACAAAAATGTGTTTGGTTAATCATCAATGTTTTTGTGAATTTATATATGTTATTTAAGAATCCAAGATTTTTAATGCATTAAATTAACGAATAAAATGTTAAATTTACCCAAAAAAAAATGAAAAATAAATGTAAAAAGATATTTTTATTTTAGTGAAACTTTTTTTTTTTTAACTTGAAAATTTAAATTCTCACCTATCCCATGAAAATAATTTTGTGAAACCTACGTAAAAAAATATTATTGGAGACCAATGATTTCTTTAAATTTTTTTAAATAACAACAAAATATAGGAAACTAATTTTCAGCTTCAGATTTCTAGGAAACTAAAACCTTCTCGTATACCAAATATCCCATCAAGTAACTTGATAGATAGATGATGGATCAAATACTCTAATAGTTGTTTTTCATGTCCTCTATTTTTCTTTTAATGTAATTCATAAATATGAACTAACTAGTCGTCAAAAGCGTCTAGTAATAAGAAAAATAAAAAATGAGAATCGAGAAAATCTTTTCAAAGTTATTATTAGAGTATCTGAATCTTTCTTCCCTCATACACACATATATAATAATCTTTATTTTAATAACAAGTGCAAATATATAAAATGTCATTCGTCGTTTATCATTATTTAGGCGTCTATTTTATTTTTCATTAAATAGTAGTTTGAATTTTCAAATATAAATATTTTACACAAATATTTAGCTTTTATATAATATAGGCGGGAAGTTTTGACACACATAGGCACTTTAGACAATTTTTGTAATCATTTTATTTTTATTTATTTTAAAATTAACTATTAGTTAAATGTAGAATTTAATAGAAAATGAGTTTTAAATGCACATTTATTTTTAGGCATTGGGGGATGATAATGGATTTTAATGGTGTCATTAATGAGTATTTGAATTTATGTATTTAGTTATTGGTTATTTATTCTTCTTTGTCTCAAAATAATTGTAGTTCAAGGTTTTCATACACAAATTAAGGATAACAATAAATATATATATATATATTTTTAATATGATTTTACAAAATAGATCCATTTTTTTTAATAAATGCAATATTTTTAATTGTAGTAGTTGAAGAATTTATGAGACAAATTTAGAAAAATTAATTACTAATACATTGAAAATTGAGAACATTAGTCATTTTGTTACTTTTTTCAAATGTTATTGTGGTCATTTTAATTAAGATGAAGGAAGGGAGAGTTTTGAAATAGTTTTTTCTAAAAAAAAAAAATTAAGGGCTTTTTAAAAAAAAATTAGTTGATTTATTTTCATTAATTTACTTAATAAATTATACTTTATCCATCCCATCATGTAAGAAAAAATAAGTCTAAAATAAGTGTTGTTTTAGCTTTTCAATATAATATTAATTTCCTTCTTTCATTTATAGTATTAATATATATATATATATATATATTGTTTAAATGTTTTTTTAGTTTCTACAAAATGAGCAAGTTTTAATTTTAGTCCTATAAATCTTTTTCCTTGTTTTTCATCCTCTAAAATTTAATTAAGGCTATTATTTGTAATCTCTATTATTTTGTAATTATTTTTAACTACTTATTTGTTTAGCTGGAAAAAAAACTACTTATTTATTTATTAAAAGTTTAAGAGACTATCTTAGATGTTACCAATAACTTTTAGTGATATCATGTTAGTGTATGACAACTCTAAAAAAAGTTGTTAATTCTTAAAATAAATGTTATTTATCTATCTTAAAATCATTGTTAGGGGCCAAACAAATGATTTTAGAATGATGAAAATCAAAGAAAAATATTTTATAGATACCAAAACTAAAATTTACTTTCATTTTACAAGGATCAAAAATATTTTTATAATAACTAAAAACAATGTTTACAAAATTTTTATAAGGATGAAAAAAAATTATAGGTCCAAAATCAAATCTCGTTAATTTTATAAAAATTAAAAATATATTTATATAAAGGTGTTGTCATGTTGCATGGTTTATAGGAGAGATGGGCTTTTTTGGCCAAAGTAAATAAAAATAAATAAAAAATCCACAAATAAATATTTTTAAAAATAATTTACTAAAATAAAATGTTTCGGACACGTACGTTGGGATTATTTTATAGAAAACATTGATACACTCAACACTTTGTGAACAAAACACAAAAATACACACAAAAAAAAAAAAAAAAAAAGCCAATCCCTTAGCATTTTTTGTGCATTTTTTAATGCACACAAGAAAAGCACCTAGGGGTAGACGTTTTCTTGTGAATTTTTGAAATGCACACATAATGCCTATCCCCTAGGTATTTTGTGTGTATTTTTAACATGTACACAAAACACCTATCACCCAAGCATTTTTGTACATTTTTAAACCTAGGGGATTATTTTGCTAGTGAGATTTGGACTATTATTTTATAATTTACCAAAATAAATTGTTTCAAACACGTTGGGATTATTTTATAGAAAACATTGATACCACTCAACACTTTGTGAACAAAACACACAAAAAAAAAAGCCTAATCCCTTAGCATTTTTTGTGCATTTTTTAATGCACACAAGAAAAGCACCTAGGAGTAGACGTTTTCTTGTGAATTTTTGAAATACACACATAATGCCTATTCCCTAGGTATTTTGTGTGTATTTTTAACATGTATACAAAACACCTATCACACAGGCATTTTTTGTACATTTTTAAACCTAAGGGATTATTTTGCTAGTGAGATTTGGACTATTAGTTTACCTACAGTATGAGACAAGACTTTGCGAGATTCCTGACATGTGAACAGTAAACTTGACTAAATCGGTGTGATCTCGATTGTAACACCCCAATTTTTCAAAAATTATTTAAAGGATATTTTGATTAATTACAAGGTTTTATAAAATATTTTAAAGGCTATTAATAATTATGAGTATTTTAATTAATTAATAAATATTTGTAAAAAAATGTTTTATAAAAGATTTATTAGAGAAATATGTATTTTTGTGATATTTTATTACAATGAGTACTTGGAGAAAAATGTGTTTTTATCATAATTGTTTATATATTTTATTTAATTATAATTTTGTAGGGAGAAATATATTTATTTTTATATATTATATATTTGTTAATTATTAATTATTATATTTTGTTATAATTATTTGGGTTGAGAGAAATATGTTTATTTGATACATTATTATTTATAAGTTTTAATAATTGAGGGAAAGGAAAAAAGAAGTATGATTAAAGTAATTTTACTAAAGGGTTAAG